TTTCATCACATGCAGCCGTCATCATCGCCCCTCCTCCCCTTCCTTCCATCTCGTATCACCTTCGCTTGACTCGCTGCATAGGCTTGCCGTGGTCGCCAAAACTGTTAGGCATGTTCCTCCTGCCGATGTTTTTGGAGGGATGGCTTGAAGTGTTCACAGGTTTGACAAATGGCCTTTAGTTTCCCTAAAAATAATGATCTCCAAAAGATTTCTCAGGTGGAGGGATTGAGCATGGGAGCGACGAGTCACCTGCCGCCGATCGGTTGAAGCTGTGTAATAGCGGCTAATATGTTGTACAATGTCTACCGCAATACATTATAGTATTGACGTATGAACGAAGTTTTACTTATTTGCTGTGTACCGTTGAAGGGCCCTCGGCCGCGCTGCAGCGCCATATATCTTACTGCCGACTCATCCACTACCTTCATCCGCTTGTGCTCTTATTGTCATTCACAGCTTTATAAAGCATGTCGTCCTATCCAAACGACATAAGCGTCTCGAGGCTGGACGCGGGTCAGGCCTTCGACGGTTTAAGCGCAAATGAGAAGCTCTACGCATTGCATATTGCCACTGCCAGTTGGGAAGGGGCCAAGATCTGCTTGTTCCAATGCTCTTACGAGGCGCCCGTCATTTTCACCCTGTTGCAACTGACCTTTAGCGGCGAGAAAGACGGCGGCTTTGAAAGCCTGAAGGCGGCGGCAGGCGTAGGCGAAGAGGAGTGGAGGGCCTTCCTCACCTTTGCGGCCGCTTTCCTGGCCAATATGGGGAACATGAAAAGCTTCGGGGACAGCAAAATCATCCCCGCGATTTCAGCGGAAGCATTCCACCAAATTTTGACCGCTGCGACCGCCTATTCCTCTCACAAAGCCTTGATCGAAGAGCTGTGGGAGACCGTGCGGGAAGTGCTGTACTCCACCGCCCCCGTCAAGGAGCTCGGCTTCCCACCCTCCGGGAGCAGCTCCTACTACTCGGCAAACGTGAGTAAGGACGATGCCGCCGCCGTGCAAACGTTTCTGGATGAGCGGGGTATATCAGCCTACAACACACGCCTCTTCAAAGAGGTTGAGGGGGGCTACCTTGTCAGGCAGGCCGCGGCCGAGGCGAGCCCCTCGCCCGTGGCGGAGGGGACTGTGGGGGGTGACGGGGGAGGCCAGGCCCCCATCAAGGTGGTGGCCGGAGACTTTGCGCCCCTCATGGGTCGCGTGGCGGCGGCGCTGGAGCGCGCCAAGGCCCATGCCGCGAGCCCTCTCCAGGAGCGCATGCTTACGCACTACTGCCAGAGCTTCCGCACGGGCTCGATCGAGGCGCACAAGGACGGGAGCCGGGTCTGGGTGCAGGACAAAGGGCCGGCCGTGGAATCCTACATCGGTTTCATCGAGTCCTACCGCGACCCATTCGGGGTGCGGGCGGAGTGGGAGGGTTTCGTGGCGGTCGTTAACCGGTCCATGAGCGAGAAGTTCGCCGACCTGGTCCAGGCGGCCGAGAGCCTGCTGCCCCTGCTCCCCTGGCCCCCCAGCTTCGAGAAGGACGCCTTCCTCCGCCCGGACTTCACCTCCTTGGACGTGCTCGCCTTCGGGAGCAGCGGCATCCCGGCCGGCATCAACATCCCCAACTACGACGACATCCGCCAGGACGAGGGCTTCAAGAACGTCTCCCTGGGCAACGGTACGCGAGCGATGACCGAGAGCGGGCAGCAGGGGTGGTACGGCCTCTCTCTTGCGGAAGAGAGGCTCCGCTTGTAGGCTCTCTGCGTGGCTGGGTCTGCCCAAAGGGTCCTGGGGGTGCGCCTGCGGCCCCCCTGATCTGCCCCCGCCCACTTATCCCCCTTTCCCGCCCCTATCCACAGTCCTGGCCGCCTCCCTCTCCACCAAGACGGTCAACTTCTTGCGCAGCGACAATGGAGATGAGGCCCTCTTCAAGGCCCTGGTCAAGGAGGCCTTCGAGGTCCAGGTCGGGATCCACGAGCTCCTCGGCCACGGCTCCGGGAAGCTCTTCTGCCAGCACAAGGACGGCAGCTTCAACTTCGAGCGAGAAAGCACCCTCGACCCCCTCACGGACAGGCCCGTGGCCTCCTTCTACAAGCCCGGCGAGAGCTGGGATTCGCGCTTCCCGGGCTTCGGCTCCTCCTACGAGGAGTGTCGCGCCGAGCTGGTCGGCATCTTCCTGTGCGTGCAGCCCCGGGTCCTCTCCATCTTCGGGCACGAGGGAGACAAGGCACAGGACATCCTCTACGTGAACTGGCTGAACATGGTCCGGGCGGGGCTGCTGGCGCTGGAGTTCTACCGCCCCGAGACGGGCAGCTGGGGTCAGGTGCGTGGAGGCGGACGGATCACAGGGGTGGAGGGGATCGATGGTTGGGCGGGAGCGGTTGCCCGGTCTCTTGGCACCCACAAGCAGCACGTCTGAAGTCCCAGCTTTCCCACACACTCCAGGCACACATGCAGGCCCGCTTCTGCATCCTCCGCGTCCTTTTGGAGGCAGGAAAGGGCTTGGTGACGCTGGCGCCCGACGAGGAGAAGGGCCTGACCGTCTCCCTGGACCGAACCAAGATCCTGGAGGTGGGCGTACCGGCCGTCGCGGACTTCTTGCGCCGGATCCAAGTCTACAAGTCCACCGCCGACGTGGAGCAGGCCAGGGCCATGTACGTGGACTCTTACTCGCAGGTCCCGGCCCACCTCCTCGCTATGCGTCAGGTGGTACTAGCCAAGAAGAAGGAGCGGCCGCTCTTCGTCCAGCCGCATTTGGAGCTGGCGCCCGGTGAGGGTGCCGGAGAGCCCGAGGTGCGCCTGCGAGAGTTCCCGGCCACGGTGGAAGGCGTCATCCAGTCCTTTCAGGCCCGCTTCCCCGCCTTGGACGAGGACATGCTCAGGCTCTGGCGGGCGGACCGGGATGTTGTAGCGCCTCTCTACCTGCGAGAGGGTATCGACGGCAGCGGTGCTGGCTCCAAGAGGTGCAAGGTGCAGAACGGGGACGGAGGGGCGGCTGTGGCGACGGCCTGATGGGAGGACTTGCACGCGAGCCGCGGTTCCGGCGGGAACAAGGAAAGGAGGAAAAGGAGGAAAAGGGCATCCGCCCCCTCAGTGCAGAGATCCCTGTCAAGAACGCGTAGCTTGACTGCCAGTGTGTTGACGTCTCGTAGAGGAGTATAAAAGAATCACCATGAATATGAAATTTTCAGCACCGCAGCAAAGGCAACATAGACCATCCCGTCCAAGTACTCTAAGACTGATTTCATTTTCCAGGTTTTAATTCGTAGGCCTTCCCCCTGTGTCCCCTCTTTCCCTCCTCTTTTCCTGCCCCCATTCCCTCAGCGCCCCCGGGAGGCCTTGACCTTGGCCGTGGCCTTGCTGCGCTTCGCCTTGAGCAGCGCCGCCTGAATGCCGGGCTTGGAGACTTGGACGTCGCCCATGCAGGCGGCGACGAGCTCGTTGTCGGCGATGCCCTTGATCAGCTCCACCTCCCGCGGCGTCGCCTCCCTGTCCCGCACGAAGACCTCCAGGGCCTGGTGCGCCGCCTTCCCCTTCTTCTGCGCGCCGGGCGTCAGCTTGACGCGGTACTTGTAGTAGGCGGGGGCCAGGGCCGAGTAGGGCGCGCACACGGGCATGGCGAAGAGCAAGAGGTCCTCCGAGACCGGCCTGCCCGTCAGTCGCCGCAGCTCCCGCTGCTCCTCCTCCACCTCTGCCTCCTCCTCGCCCCCCCCGCCCGCCACCCCTTCCTCCTCCAGCAGCGCCAGAAGCCCTTCCTCCTCCTCCCGGGCCGCCGCCCGTCGGCTCACGGCTGGCGTCGCATCCTCTTCAGTCCCTTCTTGATCCTCCTTCCCAACCTCTTCGCCACAGCCCTCCCTCCTCCCCTTAGAGGCAAGAGCGGGGGCCTGACTCCCGAGGACCACCTGCCGTTGAATCTCCTGCGCCAGTAACGCGCTTTTGCTCCGGACCCTCCGCCCCGGGGCCCCGGCCCCACGGCCGCCTCGAAGGCCCGCATGACTGCCCATTGCTGGGAATCTGTCGGAAGAGCAGCCAGAGCCCTTAGCTCCATCGCGCCCAAATCCTCCCGGCGCCGCACCAGCTCCTTCTCCAGCCACTCCTGAATCCGCTCCCGCACCCAGGGCGGCAGCCCTCCCCAGGCCTCTTCCCACCCGACTTCCTCCATCTTCGTCACCTCCCCCGCCAGCCTGGCGCCCGCCGCCTCCGCTGACCCGGCCCCCGGCCCTTCCTTCTTCCCATTGCCACGCCGTTGCCCCTTCTTCTTCGGCCCGTTGGGCGGCGCTATCACGCCCAGCGCTTGCAGCGCCAGCTCCCGGTCCTCCGCGTCCTGCTCCGCGTATTTCTTCCTCATTTTCTTCATCTTCCCCTTCTTCCCACGCTTTTCTGGCCCGCTCTCCGAGAGCTCCAGCCTTCCCTCTCCCTCCCTCCCTTCCTCCCTCCCTCCCTCCCTTCCCCCTTCCCCCACTCCCTCCACCCCCCCCCCCGCCGCCCCCTCAACTTGCTCCTGGTCGCCCAGAGCCCCCGAGCGCCGGTCCACAATTTCGCGGGCTCTAATGTCCCCCAGAGCCACGCCCTTCCTCAGCAACCGCCGCTCTTTGGCTGAAAACCGACCGCCATTTCCTTTCTGTCCTCCCTTGCCCCTCTCCCCCCCGCCCTCCCCGCACGCAGCCGGCCCTGCCCCGCCTTCCCCCCCCTCACCCGCCTCCTCATCTCCCCCCTCGATGAGAGCCCCCTTCCCCTCCCCCGTATGCCACACCTTACGCGCCTCTCCTTCGCTGCCCGGACCCGCAACTGCCCAACCCTCCACATCATCTTCCTCCTCCTCCTCCTCCTCATCATCATCATCCTCGTCATCCTTCTCCTCCTTTTCCTCCTCCTTTCCCTCCTCTCCCTCCTCCTTCTTCTCCCCCTCATCATTTTCCTCCTCTATCCGCACGAACGGTTGTACCGAGAGCGCCGCTATGCTCTTCTCAAGGCGCTGCACCTGCCGCCGACGCTCCACCTCCCCCTCCCCTCCCTCCTCCTCCCCCCCAACCTCCCCTCGCTCTCGCCGCTCCTTCGTGTGCCGCCCCACGCTCCCTTCGTCCAGCTTGAAGAGCAGGCCCAGGCCCATCTCCAGCGGCTGCGGCGCCAGGAAGTTCTTCTTCCCCCGGACCATGAAGGACCCGGTGGGGAGAAACTCCCCCGCGGGCGCCGTCTTGCTCACCTGCCCCGCCCCCACCCACCAGGCCGACGTGACCATCTTCGCCTTCCATGCCGAGGACCGGCTGACGGCCAGACAGCCCGCCTCCTGCAGCGCTACGGGGGAGACCTCTGCCCCCACCCCGCCCAAGGCGCCCTTGTGCCGGACCACGCAGGAGGCGGCCCCGGGGAGGTCGGCATGCACGTAAGCGTCGCCCACGCGCAGGTAGCGCTTGACCAGGAGCTCGTTCTGTTGCGCATCCCGCCCGCTAGGGGGGAAGGGTTGGAAGGAGAGCGGCCCGCGTGGGAGGAAGGGGGCGTGAGGAAAGGGATGGGGACCGCGTCTCGCAGGCTCGGGCCGTGGGCGGACACAGGAGACAGTCACCCCTACCGCCAACCCCCCACCGTAACGCCGCGTACCTGACCACCAGGTGGTTGTCGGAGGTGATGAACCAGTGGAACTTCTCGAACCAGTAGGGCTTGCGGACGACCGAGAGGGTCCGCTTCCTCTGCTGCTTGCTCAGAGAGGCGGCCGCCTGGCGCTCCGCCGCCTTCACGGCCTTCTCCATGCCTGCAAGGGGGCGTGGTCCGGGAAAGGGGGCGTGTGCGTGAGAGGGACCTGGGACGAGAGAGCGCACTCAGAGGCATCGCGCCAGCGGGCCGCCGCCCTCCCCCCCGCTCTCCCCCTCACCCTGCAGCGTCTTTCCCGCCTTCTCGCCCGTCTTCTTTTTGGCCTCGTACAGGGCCCGCGAGTTCGCGTACGCGGAAAGGGCTAGGTCAATGTCCACTTCCACCGCTCCTTTGCTCCTGGTCCCCGGATTGGACGAGGGGCTCCCTCCCTGC